CATTCGGGGGAAAGTTAACTAATTGTTTGCAATTACAATTCAACTTGTTTACTTCATCTATAACTGCAATTAACTTTGGTTATCAGCTCGATCTCTGTTAATTAACCTTTTTTACAATCAGTTGATAAGATTACAAGTAATTTTTTAGTTCATTCTCACATAAACAACCAATGTATTAATAGAAACAACTGACCCTTGGCCTCTCTCCTATCTCTCTCTCTCTCTCTCTCTCTCTCTCTCTTCTTTCTTTCTCTCCATCCCCTGGTTAGTAAACAAAATTACCTTGCAATGTTTAGTTATAATCACAGCCCTCATATCAACTTCCATCTCACCCTCACCTTAGTTCATTACTTTGGGCAATTCATTTTATCATCAATTGTCATCAAATTTTAGGAAAACAACAACAATAACTCAAATCTTCAAAGGTTCTTGTGTACTTGAGTTGTTTGTTTGTTGATTATTTTGTTATATTGTTTTTGTTGGTCAAGAACTGATCAGAGGGGGAACATGTGGTAAAATGATGAGGATGATGGTCAAGAACAAGGTTCATGTCTCTAAATTTATTTTTCTCCATCATTTATTTACAAATCATTTATTTCACAACAATTGAACAATTTAAAAATAAGCAATTTAAATGATGATAAAAATCATGCAACATGGTGATGAGGATGATTGAAAATTGATAGATTGTGACTTATTATTTATTAAAAGCATCAATTATCATTCATTGAACCGTTGATTGGTGTAATTTATTATTGTATCAAATATCTCATCCATTTTTCATCCTCTTCTTCCTCCTCTTTTTTTCATCTTCATCAGAGTGTCATCATCATCATGTTATATTGTTACTCTTTCATCAACAAAATTTTTCGTTTTTTTAACCCACTCACTCACTCTCTCTTCCTTGATCATCTTCTGTTTCATCAATTTCATATGGAGGGAAAATCGACATTTCTCTCTCTCTCTCTCTCCATCACTACTATCATCAGACTCTCATCCTCATCCTTTAACCACCCTCTCTCTCTCTCTCTCTCTCTCTCTCTCTCTCTCGAGTCATAATAACTGTTAGAGATAAAAAAATGATAAAACTTTTACAACTTTCATGTAACAGAATTTGAAAAGCAAAAATATTATCATTATTACAATAAACAACTATCAAGATAAAACCATGAACTTTATTCATTCATTTTCATGATTCACATTCTCATGAAACACTTTCAATGTTAATTTATTAGATAATATATATCATGAGAATATATAATTATCATTAGTAAAAGATGATCATCATCATCATTGTGATGATATCGATACAGTGTTAATGTATTTTGTTTTTTTCCTTCTTATATTCAGAAGCATCTTAATCTTATATCATTCATTTGTATATAATGTCATTCATTAAGATCGTAATGTTAGATTATTATTATTGATAATGATGATGATGCTGAAAATCAATGAATGACATAATCATGATCATGATTATAATAAGTAATAATCTCAACTCAATAATACAATTGTAAGTGTAACAATAAGCTGTAATCAATTTTATGGTTCATCATTTATTGTTAACCTTGAACAGATTGAGTATTAAATATGGACAAGTTTGGGTGTTGGTTGATGGTGGGTAGTGTGTGTATGTGTGTGTGTGTATGTTAGGGTGAGGGCGATGGGTGAGTTGGGATGAGGAGTAGGAAGAAAATTGTAATTTTTTGGAAGAACCGGAAAAGGAAAAGATGAAAAATAATTTACTTTCTATTGAAAAGTAATCAAGAAGTAGACGTACACAAAGTTTGACAGAATAAGTTTATGATAATGATGAAAGTTAATTGTTAAGTGATAAAAGATGAGAAAATTTTTTTATCGGATTAAGATTACACCGAAAATGAGGAAGTGAAAATGATAACTTGATCTGGATTCGATTTCATTGTTTTTTTTTGTTCTTTTCTCTCTTTTTCTGATTCAGTTTTTATCATCACGATACTATCATCATCATCATGGTGATTTTCTTATCATCATCATGAAATTGATGAGGATGATTAGTGAGCTGATGATGATTGAGTAAAGAGAGAGAGAGAGGGAGAAATTCTTGCATCTTGTTCATTTTCCGGATTTCCCTTTTCCTCGAAATCATTCACTCTGTTGGGCAGATTATTTCCTGAGCAGAAAAAAGGGGAATAGAAAAAAAATGTTCTAATAAGTTCTAAGTCTGTGAATAATTTTCGACAGAATTTTTCTCTCTCTATTTTATATATACCATTCGAATTAGGCAAGAGAAAAAAGAAAGAAAAAACTAACGGTATTTATATCAGATAATAACATTTTCCTCAGCATTTTCTATCATTATCATCGTTATTATCCTGAACATCATCATCACCACCAAACATTTTCACCATAAACATTATCCCCATACTTGAGCTATTACTATTATTACCATGATACTAATATATTCATTTTCAGGGTAAAAATGTTCAAGAGAAAGAAAGAAGAAAAAATTATATATTTTGACATGAGAACAAAATTTTTCACCATCATGGGCGATGATGATGATGATGATGATGATAACCTATTATCATTATCTTCATCATTGATGAAGATAATGGTGATTATTATTAATTAATAACAGGCTGAAGATATTAGGTTATCATCATCATCATCATCTAAATACAAATAAAAATAGCAAATGAATAAAAAACCAACTCAACTTTTAACTTATCCTTTATCATGGAGCCTTTTTTCAGATCTCCTTTTGTTCATGATGCTTCAATAGATTTACTGAATTATTTGATTAGATTAATGAATGAAAAAATTTGTTTCTGTCATATTCATCTTTGTTATCATCATTATCATCATCATTCACTTTCTCAGTTTAATATCATCATCATCTTCATCAGCATCATCAACATCATCTTCCAGTTTGTTACTGGTGTTCTCATCCCTGATGATGATTCTGTTGGATTATCATAAGCAAGAGGGATGGATAATGTAACACAATGAATCAGAATTTTCTTCTTTATCTCTTTTCTTCCTGAGATTCCATGGAATCGGATAAATGGAGCAAATAAAATTTTTTTACAAGAAAATGATCAAGATGATGAAGAAGATGAAGCAACCAGTGAGAGAGAGAGAGTGAATCATACTCATCATCATTTTTCATCTTCTTTCTTTACTTTCGTCTTCTTTACTGGAAAAAAGTTCTGTGTATAAAGTTCAGATGATGATAAAGATGAAGATGAAGAAATAATTTTTTGGCAACATTTTGTCTTCTCATCATCGTCTCATCTTAATGATATATAAAGACGAAGAAAAAAGTAAGATAAAGACACAGGGTGGACCGAGAGGAATAAGTTGAATGATAAACAGTAGCAGATAAAGATGACGAAGATACGGATGAAGAGAAAGAGGTAAATTCAGAGTGAGTTAGATGGAGGAGAGAGAGAGAGAGAGAGAGAGAGAGAGAGTGAATGAGTGAGAATGGAGGTAGAAAAAGAAAAGAGATGAAGATGAAGATAAAAATGAGAGAAGGAAGAAAACGAAAGATAAAGAAAAGAGCAAGGTCGTTTTCTTCAGAGCAAAAGAAAAGGCAAAGAGGATAAAAAGATGATACATGACGAAGATAAAAATTCAAGATAATCACTGAATTACGATAATAAGAACTTTTTTTTCGTCATTGAATTAATTCAAAAAAACGGAGATAAAATGATGATATTTATATAAAATTATCATTATTAATAATACATATTTAGCACTTGTTAAACTTAATCATCATCATCGTTCATCATCATGGTTTTGATAAATTTTTTTGTCAACCATGTTCAGAATAACAACTAAGTGGATCATCATAATCATCATCATGAAACTGAAGGGATGAGGAAGTTGAAATAGAGGTGAAAAAGAATATCAGAAATTTTCTCTCTCTCCCTCTCTGTCTCTCTATCGTTATAATGATGAATGAGTCGAAATTAAAAACCATTTTTACATGGATCAGTTGATTATCATCATCTCGTCTTCCATCAGCCCACCCCAACTCCCACCCTGGAACTATTTCCACCCACTTTTCCTCTCTCTCTCTACCATGAACTTCCCCCCACCTCTCATGTCATACTCACTAAACCATAGCTGATTGAACAATAAACTTTCATGTCCATTGTAATTAGTATTTCTAATTGTTCATATTAGAAGTTTGGGAAAAAATTTGCTTTTTTCTTTTTCCAGAACTTCTGTTTTCATCATGTTATTCATTTATTATTTTTCAGCTACTATTAATATCACCATGATTATCGTCATGTTGTTATTAATAACAGCATTATAATCATCATCAGTAATAAAACAAGATCCTCATTATCATTTCAATTTCACAATTTGATCAATATAATTTGTCATTCAGTGTTTATTGTCAATCAATTATTATCATCATCATGATGTTACTATCATAAGATTTTTGATTGAACTGAATTTATATGAATGAGAAAAAAAAATACTGAACTTTTTTTGTTATTACTCTTTGAAAATCTGAAACAAATTATCATGAAATTTAATATACACTTGATTAATAATGATGATCAGTCAATCAGAGTCATTATCTTCTTGACAGGATTTAGCAAAATTAATCAATGATTGATTAACTTTTCAATTATGTTAATCATAAATCAAGTAACAATTTTTCAATCTCAAGTGAATTAAATAAATGACAAAAAAAAGTGTCAACTTATTAATATATTAGATTTCTGGTCAATATGGATTACGAAATTAAATCAACAATCAGCATCAGTATCATGATGATTAACTGAAAGATTTAATTGTTTCAATCAACCAATGAATGGATGTTTACTTTTTTTAATTTAATTGCAAATCAGTGGAATAGTAAACAATCAAGTTGATGATGAAATTGATATTGAAAAAAAAAATGAATTCACAGTTTAGTTGATTGATTGTCAACAATACGATCAAGTGTTTTTCTGGAACAATTAAAGGTCAACAATTAAGAATAAAAGTTAATTACTAACCTTGATCTTCTAGTTGTTGGATCTTTCATCACCATGACCTCGGTTATGTTTCCAAATTTGCTGAAATACTCTTTTAGGCTCTCTGATGATTAGAATGATGATTAAGTTAATTAGGTGAGATTTTCATGATTAAAGTTGAAACATCGAGAAAATTTCATCACAAATAACAAATTGGTGTTTAATTGTTTGATTGTTTTCAAGTTGATCGGTGATTTATTTAGTTGTTGTTGTATTTGGTTGTTTGTTGTTGACAATCAGCGTTAATTGTTGATTTGATTGTGAGGGGATGAACACGATGATGATTGATTGTTTGATGGTAAATCACAAGAAAAAACAAACAGAAAGAAAAAAAAAGAGAAAGAGTAAAACACAATTTAAATTAACAATTAACGTCCAAAGATAATTTATAAATTGTTGTTGTAGTTGCGGTAAATTAGTAAATTAACTTAATTGATTATCTCTCTTTCTTTTTTTTTCAACAATTAACATCAATTGGAACCTTTAAATTGTATTATATTTTTTTTTGCTTTACTTTTCTCGGTCTTGATTGTTAACTGAATTTGTTTGACTATTTGATAACTAATTTAAATTATCACGATTAGGATGACAGTTAAGTCTTTCCACTAAATGGGATTGGTGTCTTTTTTCACAATCATAATAGTAATCAAGGCAACAATTAACTTTGATTGTTTGTTGATTATTGAGAAGATCATATTTCTATTTTGTTTTGCTTCATCTCTTGTGGTGGTAAATTTAATCTAATCAACATCCAAAAGCTTCTTGATTTAGTTAATCATTACTATCAAAAGATTAACTGTCTCTCTCTCTTACTTTAACCATGTCAATCAATTAATTGCGCCAACAATCAAGTAATTGATTTGTTTACTCTCTCACTAGATAATAATAATAACTTAAATGGTAACAATCAAGATGATGAGGCTCAATGGTGACAATTAATTTCGTGATTATGGATTAACCAGGAAAACTGAATCAACTAATTGTTTTGTTTTTACTCTCAATTTTGTCACTTAATTACCCTCAAGTTGAACAAATTAAAATCAACAATCAACTTTAATTGCTGACAGAAAAAAGGACATTTTAATTTCAATTGGAAATCGTTAAAAAAAAGACTTGAAAATTATGGAAATTAAGTTTTTTTTTAATGATTATCTTTGATTATCATGATTAACTTGATTGTGTCTCGGTCTTTATCTCAACAATTAAATTCATTAATAAGTTAAATAATTAATTCGTTAATCATCTTAATCAGGTAAAATTAATTAATACCAATAAAAGTGTAATAAAAAATTAATGATAACAATTTGTTAACCTAATTCACTGAGTTGATTATTTTTAAAACTAAATCAAGTTAATTGCCATCATCAATAATAAATTAATAACAATTTAAATGGTATCATCATCATCAGCAGCTAGATAATAACCATTGATTTAATATAGTAATTAAATCAATTAAACTAAATAATCATTCTGGAAACAAGATTAAGGTAAACAATTTATCAATTGTGAACAATTTAAGTATCATTGAGAAAATGTTACAAAATTAACTTTTCATATATATAAGATTAATAATCAACTTGATATTGTTGTTATTGTTGATTTTTTTTACCTTGCTAATCAATCAATCTTAACAATTAAACAGAAAAAGAAAAGTTATCGTTAACATAATCAAGTTAATCAATGATTCTAAATTTAGTTTTAATTGTTGCCCTTGACCTTTGGAGACAACAAGTAAAACTTTTGGGTGTCGAACTGAATTTACAGTTATGTGAATGAAAATTACTCCATTTTACTCATCTAATTGTGAGAAGATTAATTAAAAACCTACGATCATTATTACCTCTGATTTAATTTGGGGGTTTAATTGTCAACAATTAAATCTTACCTGGAGCAGTTTGCCAACTAAGGCCTCCGATGAACATTTTAGTTTCTGATTCCATGTTTTTAGTAGATTCGGTTTCCATTTTGGTTTCAGTTTCCATCTTCGTTGTTATCGTTGTTTTATTTTTTTAATTAAAACCCAACAATTAAATAATTTCCTTTGAATTTGGCTTTAGAATATTATATATATATATAAGATGATTGATAGAATGATGATAAAATGATGATAATCAAAAGGTGATAATATCCCAAAGAATTGAGAGAGAGAGAAAAATATATGAATGGAAATGGAAACAACAAAGATTTTCACTTGAACTTTTATTCGTATTCTGGATTCACTATGAGGAAGAGATTTGAATTTGATTTACTTTTTTTTTTAAGAACAATTTGATTTGTTGTTGGACTGACGATGACCACAAAGATGATGAGATGATGATGATGGTGATGCTTGTGGTGGTTATGGTGTTGATGGGGTTGGTGGTGATGATGATATTTAAATGATGGTCAGCTGGAGGTGTTTGATGTTGATAAAAATATGATAATAATACAAAATAAAAACACAGATAACAAACAAAATCCTGGTTCTTATATATTGTTTTTAATACACACACAGGAATAGAGAGAGAGAGAGAGAGACAGAGACTTTGAATGATAATAATAATTATATGATAACTTGCATGACAGAATCTTTCAGAGTAGTTGAAGATGATGAGGATGAAAAAGAGAGAGAGAGAGATAGAGATAGAGAAAGATAGAGAAAAAAGAGAGAAGAGAAGGAAGAAAAAAACTAAAGCTAAAGAAGAAGCTCAAGCTAAAGTGAATAGTTGCTCAGAGGAAAATAAGAATAAGAATGAGGATGGAGAAGGAAAAAAATAGAAGACAGAGGAAAAAGAGAGATGATGATGATGATGGTGAGCGAAAGAGAGAAGAAGAAAGAGAAGATGATGAAGAGGAGGAAAAAGATGATGGTAAAAAAGAGATATAAACCAAGTGAGACTTTGGTTAGATTCTATGGTGTGTATGTCTACGCATATTCCAGTGATAATATAACTTGATAGAAATTCAATTCAATTCCGACGTTCGATTAGTGTCACCTTACGGTTTCGAAAAGAACTTTAATTTTATCATCTTCTTCTCCCTTATCATCTTGCTCTTTCTCTTTTTTTTTCATTATCATGAATCCATTAATTTGATTCGCTTTCTTTTCCATCTTATCATCATCATCATCATCTCCTCATCTTCTTCTTGTCTTCTCCTTTTTTACTACGACTTCGAAATTTCCTCGTCCTCCTTTTCCTTGTCTCTCTCCTTGTCTCTCTCTCTCTCTCTCTCTCTCTCTCTCTCTCGCTCTCTCCTTACGCTCAATTATTATTAACTTTTTGTTTTCCATCTTCATCCTTATCATCATTTGCATCATCATCATCATATGGGTTTAAATCATTTCTTTTTTGTCTTCTTCTTACTAATACATTTTTTTTTCTTGTTTAATAGATAATCGTTAAGATTGTTAGTTGATTGTGATGATGATTATATTGATGAATATATCAGGGGTGAGCATGATGGGTGATGATGATGATGATAATGATAATATATCAGAACAGTTCTATGGTTTCGATTTCTTCTTCTTCTCTTCCTCTCCCTTTCGATTTAATTTATGTATTTCATTTTTTATTTTTCTACTGAATCAAATTCAGAATCAAAACTTATATTTATAGTGTAAATTTTATGATCATTATGATTATCATGAATATTATTATTGTATCGTTAATAATGATTCAAAATGAAAATAATAAGGAGGAGGTGAAGGTGGTGGTGGATAAATGATCGTGGGGGTGGGAATTATAAATAATATTTTCTAATAATAAATATATTGAAATGATAATATGACGAGGAGAAACTTTTTTACTTTCTCTCTTCCTCCTTTTCTGTGTAAATTAAATCCAACAATTAAGCTTAATGTTTATCATCATCTCCATCATCATGGATAAATAATGTTACCATGAATTATGATACAAATTCATTTTCTCAGTTTTCAATTCAGAATTGAACCTGACCAAAGGTATGATTAGCTCGATTAACTATTCAATATATTGTACTAAGTTCAATTATCTCACAATCGTCATGTTCATATTAATCAAGAATCAATAACTGGTGATGATTATTAGAAACTTAATTTTACTCTTGATTGTAAATCAGAATTGCCGATAAACAGTATGATGATGATGATGACGATGATTGATTAATAATCATTTCTGTATTTTTTGTAGAGGTGAAAAATAACATGATGATGATGATGATGATGTAGAGAACTGGATGGATGAGAGATGAAGATGATGATGGAGTTAATTTTTTGCAGGATAAGAAAAAAAGTTTCAAAGGTAAATGATTGTGATTTTTGTTTTCTGCAAACTCATACCTATGTAAACGTGTGAAAATGCAATCTAATCAACACTTTGTTGGATCCAATTGAATGCAAACACACAGAAAATTTGATTTTATTTGATGCTGCAATTGAAGATCACGTTGTTACATATATTATACAGATACGATTCCATTGTAATCTTTTAACATATCATATCCACCTTGTTATCAACTGTGTAGATGAAGATGATGGAGATGATGATAGCTATCATTATGATGGCCAAAGGAAAACAAAGAGCAAGAGGAAGATAAATGCATCCATTGCATTATTCAAAGTTTTTGCAAGAAAAAAAGTTTCACCAGAGTAAATGGTTTTCTTTACCTTGATGATTTTTGTTTTTTTCCCTCTGTTATTATTACATTTGCAATGATATATTGTTATTGTGTTGATTATCATGATTATATCATAATTTGAATTGAAACCTAACAGTTTATTTGCTTGTTTATTTTATATATATTTAGATGTGTTGTTGTTTTGTTTTGTTATTATTTTTTTTGCTGTTTCGTTGCAAAAATTATGGAAAAACAAAACTTGTTACCAGCACGTTCATCGTTTTGATTAATCAATTTGTATTCATGGTTTTGGGTCACTCAACGGAATTAATCAGTTTGCCAAAAAGTTAATTGTGTGTGTGAATATGTATTTATATGGATATTGTTTATGATTTGCAATCGAGGATAGAGAAAAGTTGTTGCGTTGATTGTTTGTTGAATGAATTTGCAGAAAACAAAGATGAGACAAAGAGGAAATTTATATAACTGTAAATTCATTAAATTTACTTAAGTTCGTGAAAATGATTTAGATAATTTAGTGAAAATCGTCAACAATGAGAGAGAGAGAGAGAGAGAGAGAGAGATGATGATGATGATGATGATGATGATGAAAAAGAAAAACTTTTCTCGTAATATTTTTATCAACCTTTTTGCAGAATTGCAAATTTACATTATCATCTTCATCCTAATTTGCATCTTAACTTTTGTCTTGATGATGATAATGAGATGAGGATGAGGATGAACATGATGATGATGATGATGTGTTGTCAACAGAAATACTTACGATGAAATAATTGAAGATTAATTTGTTAACTGTTTTTTACTCGTGAATTTTATTAATTACTCTTTATTATTCTAATTATTATTCTAATTATCATTGTGATTATCTGATTATTAGATTAGATTAAATTGTTGAAACTTTTTCTTTTTCCAAAACAAATTATTTCATCACAATTTCCATCATAAGGTAAACCAATTATTATTTTATCTACAGTTTAGATTAAGCTTAGTAAGATAATAATGAATAAGTGAGAGTCAGAGATTTATACTTATAATGAGAATGCTAATAATATGAAGCAGCCATCTTGGTTTATCCAAATAGTTGACAAACATTTACAGTTACAATCCTTGTAATGGATAAGTTATAATTTGCAACATTATCACAAAGATCATCTTCATCTTCATCTTCATCTCCCTCTTTTACTTTATCATCATCATCATCCTCATCATGTAATACACTAGTATGCTTTTCATTAGACTTGAAATCATCATAATTTAGTTTAATTTAAATTACCCTAATTGCGTTAATTTAGTTAATCTCCATTTACGTTTTTTTGTCTTCCTCGTCATCATCATCATCATCATCTCTCTCTCTCTCTCTGTCCTTTACATTGCAATCATCTCATGCATCATCTTTGGTACCCAAACTCATCCTAATCATTTGTATCTCCATCACCATGATAATCATCCCTACGTTGATCAAATGTTATCATGAACTGAAACATGAAACAGTTTTTTATATACCTTTTTTTTCAACAACATGGTTACTACAATTGTGTCAAATATTGAGTCTATAATAATATTAACTTGATAAATTAACGGTTGAATCAAGAAAATTATAATTATCATCACAATGAGCCATTAATTGCATTCACTTTCCGGTTCCTTGATGTATTACATATGCAAACATCATGAGATAAGTTTGCAGAATAAAAAAAAATATTAGTTTTTTCATCCATCTTTTCCCATTCAATTGGATTAACTTGAACTTTTTTTTTTCATATCTTTTTACTTTCCTCTTTTCACCCAGATTAGTATTGATGGGATTAGGATTAGTGTATGAAAGCACATTCTTTAATCCCTTTCCCTTTTTATCAATGTGTAAATCCACTTTGAAGAAACACATCGTTTATTATTGTCATTGTGTAAATAAATCAAAGTCAACAGGGGAAAAGTACAGTTATAACAATTCAAAATGTACGAAGAAAATTTTTGTAACTATTTGTTTTTTTGGAAAACTTTTTCTTTTACTTTCTTTGACAACATGAAATTTAATCTTACACAATTTTAAATCTCTCCTAATCTAATCCTTATCATTAGAAAGCTAAGTCACAAGAGAGAGAGAGAGAGAGAGAGAGAGAGAGAGAGAGAGAGAGAGAGAGAGAAAGTCCTTAATTACTTATATTGTACTCTGTTAATTCATTTGACTCCCGAAAGTGTAATATTAACTCATCATCATCGTCATTCCGATTCATGGGGAGTTGAATGTTACTTATGTAGTACCAATGATTTGAGTGTAATCCAAGTGATAAGTGTTGTTGTTGTTGTTGTTGTTGCAACTGAATTCAATTTACATATTTAACTTTGCATCATCATGAAAAAATCATCATGAACTTTAGGTATATGCAAAAAATAACAGAGATAAAAACAATTACAATCTCTCATCTGTTGTGTGTGTGTGTATTTATATAGTGAGATGAACAGTTTATCTGAACTGAAAAATTCAGTTCATTCCCAAGTTTCAACTCATTTGTTTATCTAGAAACTTTATCAAAGTAAACTTATTCCATCATCTTCATTTGAATGAACTATTCAGATTATCATGAAATTTACTCACATTTTGATGATGACAGAAATACACAAATTGTCAAGAGGTTGAAATTTCAAATTAACATTGAAAAGTTGGAAAGTTTTTGTTTATCAACAATTAGACAATACAATCAAGTCTTAATTGTGATATATTAAGATGAAATATTAACAATCAATGATGGTGGCGGATGATGATGATAACTGATGATAACTGATGATAATGATATTACATTTATATATCAGATTTAGTTTAGCTTAATTAAAGTTGATTATGTTGAGTACGTTAATTAACCAATGTTAATTAAACTGATTATCACAACTGTAATATATTTATGCTCGTGTATGAAGTTATCACTAAGTCTAATTATTTAACTAATCACAATTAAATTACTAAATTAAGTTGACATTCTTGTTGTGCTTAGTTAACAATAAAAGTGATCATCACATTTACTTAATCATAATCAAGGAAAAACTTTTAATGTTGTTGTTGTTGTTGTGAATGATGATGATTACAATTACGATTCAATTTAAATTGTTGTGAATTCAATTTGGTTAACCATCAGGTTAAAAACTATCGTTAACATGATTATGGTGATTAAGATGATTATCTCATGATGTGGTTGATAATAATGATGAGACTGATCTTAATTGTTGTT